TTTAGGCTGATTTAACTTAGCTCACTGTTTTTAGGCTGATTTAACTTAGCTCACTGTTTTTAGGCTGATTTAACTTAGCTCACTGTTTTTTAAGATTGTTATTAAGTTGCCCACTTATGGCTCAGCAGGTTGGATGCTATGACTGTTAAAAGAACGTTGCTTTTTTAAATCCCCGGGTCAGACCGTCTTACTCTGCTTTCTCCAATAAAAAAAGGAAATGTCTGTCCTTTTGGCTGAAGCGTCTGCTGAATAAAGCAACGCATATTGTGTTGTTTTTTTTTCTTGACGTATTCATATTTTTGCAGTACTGACCTTTTGTCTCTGACATTCAAGGGCATAGGAACTGTGCGGGACAGGGGAGGATATGTTAGCCCCAATATTTAATTTGGATCTTCCATCATTCCCAATAAATAGATCATTGTATTCAAATTATTAAGTTACTGTACCATCATGATATCAAACTGTCCCCTAGGCTGCTGCCCGCAGAAATATGGACAAACTGCATTTTTTTTCACATGTAGAGATTTTTAGAAACCACTAACACTGACAGAGACTTGTTTTTCACTTCTGTTGTTCCCCATATGTAGCTGTAGTTGTATGTGTTTCTCAGATGTTAATACTCTGCCGACATGCCAGTGTTTTTAGACTCTAATTTGATTCATTTGTTTGTGTGTTGTTGTCATCCTCCAGATTTTCTGGGTTCCCCCTACATACATCATCAATAGTACCCCCCCCCCCCCCCCCCCCCCCCCCGCCCACTCCCCACCACCACCACTACTACTACAAGATTAATCAGAGCAGAGCTCCATTTTAATCGATTCCGTGGTTGATGGCAAGCAAGGTCTGATGGACAGCTGGTCATCTCTCAGTGTTCCTTTACAGATGAGAGATCAGACTGAGCATGCATGCCAGATCAGGACAGTTCAAACATGCCAGCACATACAAGCCTGCGCTTTAGGGGCGAATGGGCCAAAGCACAGCCTGGTACCAAAAGGAAGGAGCTGCCCCATGTGTGTTTGGTGGATGGTCAGATCTTATCATGCACATCACAACACCAGACAGCAAAACTCATTAGCAGGTGGCGGTACATAGAGTAGTGATCCTTCCAGGCTGGAGAAGAGGAGAGGACAGAGTGACATGGAGAAAGATGGGGGCAGGGGGCAAAGAGCCAACTGAGGGGTCACGAATGACAGCTTGTGATGGGAAAGGATAAGAGTAAGAATATAACACAAAGGAGATGCAGCAGAGGGGGAAATATATAACACAGATGTACATGTGCATGCTTGGAGAGCATGGAACACTGAAAGACACAATGTCACTGGTCATCAGTTTGGCACTGTCTGTCAGTATGTATCGGTCTGTGTCTGTCAGTGTATATCGTCTACGTCTGTCAGTCTGTGTCAGTCTGTGTCTGTCAGCATATATCATCTGTTTCTGTCAATCTGTATCTGTCAGTATATATCAGTCTGTGTCTTTCAGTGTCCGTCAGTCTGTGTCTGTCAGTCGGTGTTGGACTGTTTCTGTCAGTCTGCTTCAATCTGTGTCTGTCAGTGTATATCATCTGCGTCTGTCAGTCTGTAACTGTCAGTGTCTGTCGGTCTGTGTCTGGCAGTCTGTGTCTGTCAGTGTGTTCTGGTCTGTGTCTGTCTGGCTTTGTCAGTGTGTATCGGTCTATAGCTTTCAGCCTGTGCCTGTCTGTGTGTACTGATCTGCATTCATGTGGCTCCATTGATTTGATATGCGTTTCCTGGCTTAATTGATGTCATGAATAAAACATGAGGGGATGCATGGAGGAGTTATTAAAATGATTTAATTAGACCCGTCCGTCCCTCCCCCCATTAGCAGTACAGATTACTTCCGGGGAGGTTGGGAGTAAATTAGAGACAGCAGGGCAGGTTCGTGGAGCTATATACAGAGGAAAGGGGAAGATTATGCAGATAAAGTGAAATCCTACTTGTCTTAGTGGGTCTGTGCTGTGACAGATTTAGATTATTAGAGTAATAGGACAGGAGCACAATCAAACAGCCGAGATGCCCAGGAGTGCAGTGCCTTGCCCTCTGCCAGACCCCTGACCCCTGACCTCTGACCTTCTGCTCATAGGTGATCCAGAAGCTGCGGATGTCGCGGGACGAGCACGCCGCCCTGCAGGAGCTGCTGGCATGGCGCCGGAAGCTGTGTGAGGAGCGTCGCTTCCTCCGCGGGGCGGGGTCATTGTCTGACCTCGCCGTGACCTCGGCCCCGCCCCCACCCCGCGTCAGCGCCCCCACTCCCGTGAAAAAAGCCTTTCCATAGCCAACCTGTCGGATTCTGGCACTGTGCTCTTCTCACTTCATCTCTTCACTGTCCTCCCAGCAGAAATCGACTTCTCGGGGGTAGTGGGGCAGGTCCAGTGCAGCAGGACGCATCCCTATTGCCCCTAGAGGCAGATGGATGATTTCTCTGGGGCAACAGTGATATTGAAGCATATGCTGGGTAGACTGGGGAATTCCAGTACTGCCACTGGTGCTGGTCGCTCTCGTGTGACACATCGGGGACTCACGTCTCCGCGGTTTACATTCAGACCACTGTGCTGACCTCGGTGCGCTGGCTTGCCGTTGACTTTTCAGGTGAAACGATCCTCCTCGTTTTTCCAGGTGCTTTCTCTAATCCTGAAGCGTGGGTCGGGTCTTCAGGGAAATCCAGCCAATCCACAGACACAGATCTGTTACGCACTAGTGACCGCATTTCAGCGTCAGCCAAATCTTAGTGACCAGCTTTAATGAGTTTGTTAGCATCAGGCAGACTAGTCACCAGACTGGTGTCCATGGTAATCTGTACTGACGCGTCATACTTTACCCGTGTCTGAATAGAGGACAACCTGCCCCCCCCCCTCGATTCTGTCATGCCCTAAGCCAGCCAATTATCATCCTTCACAAGTGTCTAAGAGCAACTGGATGTTAGGGACATCCCACACAAACAGAACACGAAGAGAAAATGGCACAAACACACACACACACACACACACAATGCTGCTGCTCTCAGATTCACACTCATTCTGAGCCTCTGCAGATGTGAGATGAGCAAATGTACAAATCAAAGCCTGTGGCCAAATCAAAATTCTGTCCATCCGCAGGGTGAGAAAGGCTGAAAGCCACACAAATAAAGAAGGGCCATGTTTATGTGGGTGCCATGGCTACCGAGTGAATGGTGATTAATATGGGATGGAAAGGGACCTTTCCAGAACTCTGAGATACTGGGTGTTGACTGTAGTGGCTTGGGTGAAATAGCACTGTATTGACCAGTATCATAGCACAGCCAGTACCCAGACAGTACTGGACCCAGGTGTGCAGGACCCAGGTGTGGTAGCCTCTTGCTAACGATGGGAATTCCTTTAAATGTCTCCGACTGCAAAGGGCATCGATGTTAGCTGAAGAAATGAAAAGGCTTTTCATGGAGCAGCGAATTCGTTTAACGCGAACGAGGTTTTCCACGTTCCGAAGGAGACAGCCGGAAATGGCTTTTTTTAGTGCTAGACTCAAGGTTATCTGCTGCTCCGTGGCAGGTATCGGTGGATAGAGAGAAGCGGAGATATGGAAATGAACAATACAGCTGCGTGATGCTTTTACGAAGCACCTCGCTCACCTGTGATGTAAGACGAACGCGACCCCCGTATTTGCTTACTAATACAGAGCGGATCGCAGATATAAACACAGATTCAGCTGTGTGCAACTGGACTGTTGGCCCAGGGTCATGGTAGAGCAGTCGGTTAACATCCTGTACACTGAACTAGGATCAGCCTGGTTTGATTATGAAGATTCTAACTCGGGAAGGATAATGTGACTATATCGTATGGTAAAGGCAGAGGGCACAGCACAAGGTCAAGGCCGCCCCTCCTGTAGTATTGTGGCTTTTTAAATATATTTATCATTTCGCTGAAAACCGAAAAAAAGATGACCTTGCTAAAATATAGCTTTCTCTCTGCAGCTTTTTAAATGCATGAGCTTCAATGACGAGCTTTCCCAGACCCTTGTAAGATCACCCACATTGAGTTTTTCATAAGCGTAACGATCGCCGTCGCCCCCTGTTGGAGATGCTGTGCCAAGGGCCGGACAGGCCCCAGGAATAGTATTCATGGTGCCCTCCCCTCTCTCAAGCTGATGTCTCCAGGGCAACGTATTTATTTGTGTCATGGCGGTGAAGGGTGCGTCTTGAGCGTGGCGACCCCGTGCTCGTCACCGCACAGAGTGTTTGACTCATCTTTTTACTATTTTGTAAATCGGACCTTTTAAGTTCCATATAATATAACTGTGTTTGTGAGAGAAGGAATGTCTCATTATGTACCTTGTTCCCAGAATTTTATAGAGACCTGTACAGCAATAAAGCACAACTCTGTCACAAAGTCTATGCCGTGTGTGTGCATATCTCTCTCGACTGGGATCAGAATACTGAGAGTGCCGTACCACTCCTCTGCAGCACCCCTCACTCGCATCGCTGATCATAGACCAGCGAGTAGAGCATGTAGTAGTGAAGATAACCCCTGACACCTGCTCAGGGTCTTCAAGCCTGTGGCCTCTGATGAAATACTAAATAATGTAATGGTGTCGAAGCTGGTGTTGTTTTCCTGGAGTCTCACTTTGTGAATTTAGTCTAATAAACTATCGGACTTTGGTAGGAAAAGACCATATACCACCTGGCCAGGAATAAAATAAAGTCCATCTGGGATGTTTTAGCAACGTGCAGCTGTAAACCCACACAAACTATATGCGGTTGAACAGCGAGAAGTATCATCTTCCTGTTTGCCTAGAGGACCCTCAGTGTTTGGCCTACAGAATGTAAGCTAATTTGCCGTTATCACGCTGAGGCTATAGAAGCGCACTGATTTTGTAAACGGTGCTTCCTAGGAAAGGCTGGTTGGTGGTAGGACTTACCTGTCAGGGTTAGGGGTCGTTCTTGATGGGAATAGAGTTTTGCCCATAGAAATTAATAGATGGTCCCCACACAGATATGAGTACTGGTCTGTGTGTGTGTGTGTGTGTGTGTGTGTGTGTGTGTGTGTGTGTCCAGGTATTCCTTACCTTACCTTGTGGGGACCAGTTTCCTGGTGCCATGAAAAAACTAAAAATGCAAAAACTCTTGTATTTTTTTTTCGTTACTTATGGTTATGGTTAGGGCTGGGTAGGGGTTAAGGTTGTCATAGTTAGCATTAGCATAGTTTTCCCATAGCAATGAATGAGCGGGTCCCAAAAAGATATGATTACATGACTGTGTGTGTGTGTGGATGGGGGAGGGGGTTAGACTACACGGCTGGCTGTATTGCTGATGGTCTTTTCAGTCTCCTCAGCTTTACTAGGGCAGGTCAGGGGTTTCCACACTGCAGCTGTAAACATCTTGCTGCCTTGTTTAAAAGTCACTTACATAACAGCTGTGTTGAGAGGACTCGTCGCCCCTGCTCGGGGTACAGCTGTCCTTTGCGATTCGCCCACATGCTCCACACAGAACACGTAGCGTCCTGTGCATGTCACCTTTGACCTCAGCTGCACTGGCTTGACGTGTGGGGGGGGGCTGTCTTTGTGTGTTGGCTCTGGCTGTAAAGCACAGGATGGGGGGGGGGCTCCAGCCCCTCTGTTTTTTAAGTCTATTTGCTTTTAAACATTTCGGGATGAGTTTTGAAATTGGATATTATTCCATTACAAATCTATTAAAAGATAATCATCATATAGATCTCCGAAGACAGCAAGTTTCCATGGAAACCTTTCCCAAATTCCCAGGTCTGTTCTAATGGGGAAAATACTGTGTCCTTTCAAATTAATGGAAGTATATAGATGTTTGATAACTATGGACAGGGCTGGTACTAACCAGATAATAGCAGGTGTGCTTTTCTCTGGTTAACCAGAGTGGTCATGTGACATCACAAACCCAGATGATCTCCGGCTAGGAGAAAGGGGACGACCCTTTACATCGATCAGACAGATTCCCGTGACGGGAGCTGACTTATGGAAACAGGTCTGTTGAATGTTTTCAAACCCAGAGAGTTCCAGCGTGATTAAGGCTGATAGTTTATTTCCAGATGTCACATGGCAAAGGGACTTGATTTCCATATATGAATAAGATACGTGCAGACCAGTTGCATGCAGGGTACAAACCCTGTAATTCTCAGTATACACAGAATGAACAAGAATGTAGATCCAATGTAAAGACTACAGGGAGGTACTTGGCTTAGTTATCTATTACATAAAATCATACGTAACACAACATTCAAGACACCTGGTAGCATAAAACACATAAGCCAAAAATACACCAGTAATACATTCTAAAGAACACAAATAAAAGATTAGGTATAAATTTACTTACAGCTGTATGTTCTTTTTGCATTATCACTTCTACAGACTCCATATGGGTATTTTTTTGCATATTTCCGGATTTACTTAAGTCAGTTTTAAGTAAGTAGAGAGCTACTTGTGTAACATTACTCAGTATTACTCAATAATAATACTATTCACTATTTATTCATTCATTCATTTTTCATACCCACTTGTCCTATACAGGGTCGCAGCGACCCGGAATCTATTCCGGAAAAAGCAGGTGCAATGTAGGGAATAACCCAGGACAGAGAGCCAACCCATCGCCGGTATATTACTGAGTACTGTGTATGAAAATTTGTATTTAACAAGCAGTATATGTAAAGGTATCTGGTTGTGCTTCAGGGACCAGAGACTGAAAGCACACAGCTGGCCATTGATACAGTTAATCTCATTCCCTGGAAGTGTGTGAGCGCTACGTCCAGGATCCGGCAGAGAGGGGGGCATTTCATGCAAATGAACGTCAAAAGGCCAACGTTTGCCAGCCGTCGCGTGCTTTGCATATGCAAATCGTCTGATTACGTCCCCATCACTCAGATTGTGCCAGGAGTCCAGGCTGAACAGCATTTCCCTGGGACAGAAATATGCACGAGTCCTACAGAACCACACCGCGGCTATTTTATCACGTCTGCGCAGGCATCCTCCAGGTAACTGTAAAAAGAGATTACCTTTCCAAACGGCTCTCTCCACCTTTCTGAACATACTTTTGGGCCTTTTAACGCATCTAGTGTGACTCCTCAGCATAGTTCTGTTCTGAGAGATGGACAATCAGCTCCTTTACCCACAATGCCGCAGTGTTAAATTTGATTACCAATATGAATTCGGAGAATTGGTCCGTATTCAGGAGTCCCTGATTCAGAAACATCTGTGACCACTCTCTGGGGACCAACACTGCACACACATTGAGCAACAGAGCCCAGCTGAACCTTGTATGCTGAGCTAAAGTGGGCAGCAGCAGAGAACCAGGGTCTCCAAACAGTCCGTAACAACAGCATGATTGGCCCCGGAGTGTCGCCTCCATATAAAGGAATCAATACTCATTGATGCACCCATATTTTCATAGTTTTCTGTAGAAACTAATTACACACCTAATTACACCTCATTGTAGAAGACACATCACCAGAAAGTGCTCGTGGTAAGATCAGTAACAGACATCATAGTGCAAAGTACTGAAAATTAGTCATTAGTTACAGTTACTAGTTACTTCATTCAAAAGTAATTCAATTATTTACCAATTACGGCATATAAAAGTAATTAATTAGTAGGGAAAGTTATTATTTATCTTATCCATTATTAAATTATTTTATTATTCTATTAATGCATACATACCCAGACAACCCTATTGTTACATTACTTGTTACATTACTCGTTACCGGGAAAAGTAGTGGAATTATAGTAACACGTTACTTTGTTACTTTGTAACGTGTTACTGCTAACACTGGTAATAGCTGCACCAGTGTCTCTATCACTTGTGTAGAAATCGGAAGGCCAGCTCTGCCCATTGCAGATCTTTACCATTCATCTTCTCCTTAGCAGTATAACCAAGACCGTCTCATTTAGAGGATCCGTGTTGAACAATTCGCAGCAGTGTTGGGTGTTCGTGAGTCCATGCACTGTGAGAAGGCACGAGGGCTCCTGAATCATTCATGGATTTAGTAGTGGTGTTCTCCACAGACGTCTTGTTGGGCTCACTTACATGGCGACAATATGCTGGCATTACTGTTTTGGGAGATATTTCAGCTGTAAGACACACCTCCAGCGGGGGCCATTGAGGGATGGGGGAAGGGGGCTGGGGTCCTCAGAGAAGATGCAGTGAGATTTGTAAGATGGTGGGGGGGACATTCACAGGGGAAATCAAGGGAAATACAGAGACAGCAGCGGCCCCTCCAAACGAGATCATTAAATCACTCTGTTATCCTAGTTGTGTAACGTGAGATAACTTATTTATAGAGGATCCGGTTCAGGGTGTTGTACATAGTCAGGGGTTCGTGTTAATGATGACGTTCTGCACAGAGGGGCTGGCATCTGCAGCACCGTGAACGAGAGGGACTTCTCAGGGATAAGGTTACCCACAGGGTTGGGAAAAGAGGAGCAGTCTAGAGGAGATGAGTCAAAAGTTCTTCCTCCATCTCAGTCATCCACCCTGCAGATAATGGGGGTGGCGTTGGGCAGAGAGGCTTAACACAGACCCACAGGCCTGCTATAGTAAGCTCCCTTTATTCAGGATACAAGCAAGTCATTCATCTGAGAAGCCCTTCTGAAGTTTACCCAGAGGCGCCTTTTCCTCAATATCTCTAATGCTTGCGGTTGACGGAGAAGAAGCTGTGTGTCTTGGGGTCTGGCTTTTCCCTCAGGATGTTTTGATATGCGTGTATTTTTGAGGAGATATGTGCACGTCACGTGTGTTTATTCTGCGGTTCACATTGATCCAGCCTGCAGCCACAGTCCTCCAAATAGCCCACAAGCATCCCATGCCCCTGTGTTAGGGCTTTGGGCCACACGCCATCCTTCTGGTGAGCAGATGCTTCTCCATGGCTAGGGCTCAGTCATCTCCCACATGTTGGGTTCCAGAACCACTGAGCAATGTTTCACTATGGATACCCCAGCACTTCAGAGCAGTCATGGGAGAATGGGGTCACTGGACAGTGAGGCTTGGCGGGACAGCATGTGAAGTGCACCTCCATGTGTCAAGTCATTCTAACTGGATTAGCTTCATTTTCCCCACATCAGAAATGGTCTCGATGGAGCATCTGCTGAATGAGTCACAAAGTCGCTATGGACTTATTTTGGGCTTTAGTTTGGCGCTGCTGTTAGTTAAACTGGTCTTTTGAGCAGGTGTTCTGAAGATGCAGCAGGACATCTCCTAATCTCAGAAGCCAGTTCTTTGTGTCACTGTCATACTACATCTAGAGCAGCCAATAGAAACAGCAGGCCGTTATTTGTGAAGTTCCTTTGCCCCGACGTCACACTAGGCCTGTTGCGATTCTGTATTCATGCTGTCTGACACCAGCAAGCTAAACACATCAGTTAAAGGAAATAACTT